GTTGGCTGGGATCCGGAGTATATTGAGAACCCGGAGGTGTTTGATGGGTTGAGGTTTCATCGGATGAGGAGTCAGGGTGGGGTGTCTGCTACTACTACTGGTAAGTACCACTATGTGTCTGTGAATGAGACGTCGTTGCATTTTGGGTATGGGCGGAATGCTTGCCCGGGGCGATGGTTTACGGCTTTTCAGATTAAGTTGTTTCTGGGGCTGTTTTTGGTGAAGTATGATATTGCCTCTGGCGCTTCTTTGGGAGAGGGGAGTAAGAATGGGGACGAGGGTGAAGACACTGTTTGGATTAGGAGGAGGAAGAGTGGTGAGGATGATACATAGAATAAGTTGTTGCTGTGATTAAAGCAGTGCGGTGTGATGATATATTTTGACATGATGTACATAGATAAAGTCATCTGTAGTAAGTGCTCTGTCAAATGCCCATCATAGGGCTCTAAAACCTACTATTATTGTTTAGTTGAAAGATTGAAGATATGATTACAAGGATCTACTGCTTATTAACGAAGGTTGGAGAAACTAGAAGCGTAATCCGTAAGATTGCATGAACACTATAGAAGTGATATGATTGGAATTAAACAAATATCATAGCGGGTATATGTTCGTAACATGTCATAAAGTAGATCCAGTTCGGATCGATCAGAACAGAACAGACGCGCATGGCGTTCTCGTGCTGATAAGACGGGATTGATGCAACGGCCTTTTGTGCCGAAGGGAAATAACCCAAGCATGACGCATGAGTATTCTTGACTCAACGCGTAGGATTTCCCTATTCATGCGTGAAACTCTCAAAAGGTTGCTGGCAACCTGTTGCCAGACTGGCCCCATTTTGATCCTCAAATAATCGGCGGAGCGGTTTCGGAAGCGCTGAAAGCTTGATGGTGGAGGGCCACTAATGCGACCGGAGAAAATTATCCGTTGGAATAGAAGAACCGCAAAAATACCCAGGAATGGAATGAATCCACAAGATATAAGCGTGCAAATTATTTCAGTTTCAATCCTTGGCATGATGGTGTCTCAGACGATCCACTCCATCTCGTACGGTATCCCGCAGACTGAAGCCTCCAAACAGCCAGTCATTCGAGTGACGACCATAGTGGTTCACTGTGCCGCTGTAACGACGGTAGTCGTGGCCGCTTCTGCGGATGTGTGTGGAATGTACACGCTTGTTGGTCGCGCTGTCGTCGGTGGAGACTCTGCTAGGAGACATGGTGGAGACGGGGCTCGCAGAGCGAGGAGGGGTAGAGTTTGCAGGAATGCTTCGAGGAATGTCGAAGCTAGATGAGGGAGAGGAGCGATTCGAAGGGATAGAAGCCGCGGTGGGAGAGTGGGAGCGCGACCGGAGGAATTGTTTCACGCTGGATAGGCGGCTTGCTTTGTGATGTCTAGCCTTCGTAGCGTGGGAATTGGTGGTGGTTGACGAGGTGGATGAAGTAGTGGATTGAGAAAGAGCCCGCTTGAGGGTGTTTGGTTGAGCGGAAGTCTGGTGGTCGTCGTTCATTGCTTTGATTGAGGATATACCAATAAGGATGAATCAGAAAAGAGTGGGATCAACTCGTGTAAAATGAGGATAATGCATCCAAAAAGCACAGGGGAAATGAGCGTATTTATGTTCCATCGTCCCCTCCTTCCGTGCTCATTCCGAGCATGTCTGGAAGCCCACCCAGCAGCCTATCAAAACAGCACTGGCCCTATCCGGGGCATGGGGCCCCTGCCGGGAAGCCCGAGCGGGCGAATGAAAGAATGCCAGCACCGAGGGGCTCCATCGATAGGGCTCAAATGGCCCCTTCTTTGAGTCACGGACGGCAGCTGAATGATGAGCCAGTCGGTGAGGATCTCCAGTCGTCTCCACGCGTCTGCCCTATGCCTTACGAGCCGGCCAATCATCGTGCCTGTCACCGGGAAATGACCCATCAGGGGGCTCCATTTTCACCGCTAGATCCACCACAGCAGCGTCCACAAGGCTGCCTTGATTTTGTCCGCTGTTCGGGCGCGCCCGTCGGAGATTGATTGTGTGTCCTTTAGTGATAGGCAGCTGGAATGTTCGTCCTCATTGTTTTTGTCTGGATGTGAGTGAGCTGTCAGCTCTAGGGCATTCCAGACAACTTCCAGAATTCTTCCCACGAAGCAACAGAACGGGTGAAAATTCAGCCCCCACCTTGCAGACAGGTATGATCGCTCGGACTTAGCGAGCAGGATAGGAAATGATGTTCGAATTCGGACTAGGGACGGGACATAGGGCTTACGGCTCACAGGAGGTGTTTTCCCAAGTGTTAGTCTCAGCTAGTGCTGATCTCCACCCTGGTCTCTCCCTCTCCTTCCCCTCTCCAGGCTACCATGAACCGGAGAGAACACACTCACGGATTGCTTTTAATAGCAACTGCGTGAAAATGGCTCTTATCTGAAACATGATCCCTGCTCAGATTGTCACGGTCCAAAATGCGGGATATACGAAAATGCCTCGATGGAATGAGTGAGGGAATTATAGGGTAGGCGATGCGCTGCGGATGGTGTTGAAAGCGAGGCCAACACCATAGCGACAGACAAGACAGAGACAGCCAGCTGGAGTCTCAGACGGCCTTCCCAATTGGGACGCCGGCCAGTGACCCACTTGAGGCTCTTGAGCTCGCCAATGACATCACGGCCCTTCACGTGCCCCATGCCAAGAGGCTGGCCGGCACGCGCTTCCGAGCACAAGGAGATTGGGAGATGAATCTACTGGAATACAGGCAACCAAAAAGCTGCAACGAGTCTTGCTCCGAAGACCGACCTTTTCTTCATTATCTAGACTTGGTATGACCTACTGGTCTTGCTATAACATCAAATAAACATGCAGTCGCCGTCAACAAAGCCCATCGCATGCAAAACGCCCACACAACGCCATGAAAGCAACCCTCGCGATGCAATGCGTGCAAACCTGTCAAAAACACACACACACACATCTAGGACATAATCAAGAAAACAGCGCAAACTAACAGACAGTGCATACATCTATTGTTCCTCTTCCAATGGCCACAACGCGGCGCTGGGCCTTTTCCACGACCGAGGCTGCTCCGAATGGCATCGCCGATGATATCGCTCAACTGACAGACATCCAGCTCCGGCCTTGATATCAGCAACTCTCCCTCTTTCAGCAATCGAACCTGAAGGGGGCAAGATAGGAGCTCCCTGGGGCATCCAGTATGAAACCAGCACACTTTCCCCAGTAGTGGTCGTGGTCGGCAGCACAAAGAGTGATCGGGCCTTATCCAGAGGTGGACGGATCATTTTCCGGAGGGACCCCGATCCCGATCCAGCATGATGGTCTGTGGCTTGTCCAGAGGCGCCAGGCGAAGCTGAATCCCACGGAGCGTACCAACGTCGATGGGACCGTGCCGTCCTGGAACGAACAATCCCCGCCGATGCGGCATCATCCTCGAGCAAATCCTCAGATCCCACCGGGGTCAAGAACTGCTGTTCGAACTGACGTTGCTGCTCAGCGATAACGAGCGGCAGGTTTCGTCGTTCACGTAGCTGTGTCCCAGGGCCGCAATATGGCCATGAGTGGCGTCGTCGGTGGTGGACTAAGTGTGGCATATCAACAAAGGTTAAGAACAACAATAACTATAGAACAGCTAAATCAGTTAGGAACAGAACAACAACTAAGAAAAACCAACTGACTATAAATACCAACGGGATAGATAAATAGATAGATACCTAAGCAAAGACAACCCGAACAGCCCAGGCAACAACAAAATACCCGGATATGTCAGTCAGTCAGTCAGTTCCTCCTCGACAAGAAGAATCCCAAGGCTTGCCAACAGGGCAAGCACTAATCATGGTGAAGTAAAACAGGACACATCTCAATAAAATGTCCCGGCCAGGGCGGTTGGTAACAAGCCTCGCGTTATAAGAAGCTCAGCCTTTGCCCATGGGTCATGAGGCTCGCACGTGCAAGGCGCACGCGTCGAGGACAAGAACACTGGGGAGAGATCACCCGGGCGACTAAACTGACTGAGACGATCTGGGGGTGGGCGCTGAAGAATACATGATTTGAGGCACCCTTTACTGGTCATCCGCTAGTAGGGAACCGGATAGACGCGCCTTGAATTGAGTCACGGACGATGAGCAATAGGTTAGCTATGACGAATGGAATTAGAGTCAGCGACTGGCTTGCGCGGCGGGAAGGATGTTACTACCAATTTTAATAATATTAATAATTCCATTAGCTTTGAAATCAAATGCCTAGATATTCTCCCCGATTCTGTCGGGGAAAATATACAGCTACTTACCTGTTGGGCGGGTTCTGCAGGTTCCGTAACTAGTTGAAGATGGTGTTCGTGCGGATCTCCAGATGAGCGGCATGATCAAGCGGGGTACAGAGCAATAATGAAAATGACTGACTAAATCGACCATGTCTCCTCTTCACCGAACACAGACGGGTGATCTGCAGTCTTTTGCTCTTATCACAAGCTTACGAGTGCTGATAGCTTTGTTGCCTTTCTCTCCGGCACGAGAGGCGATCAGCACATAGTGTTTGGAGGCGAAGATGGGAGATGTTGCATGTTGCTGTTGCATTGCAGCACAGACCTAATTTCTCTCTCTCCGGTTCTTCTTGCTTCAAGATTTCATGTGATAGGTTGTTCTATACATTTTGGCTTGATAACAAGTACTCTGGATACTACTTTATATCCAAATTTATATGTAGAGGATTTATTCCTGGTTGCCATTTGGATTAGATTTGGATATGGATGTGTGTAACAGTTAACATTCCGATAATGCTCTTGGTTAATAGCACCACGATCAAGCTATGGTCAGTGCATGATGACAATGTGTCCAGAGGATTGCCCTTATATTGACTGTAATTGCTGTTATAGATTATCTTTTGTGAAATGCAGTTCGCATGCCCTGCTGCGACGGATCGAAGTAGTTTTCAAACAGTCCTCCAAGATAACTGGGGAGCGAAGTTGTCTACTCCGTAAGCCAAAATCCAGCAAACTACCCCATTGTCCAGTCACGTGGTCTAATGGTTATGATTTCTCGTTCACATCAATCTGACGCGCCGAGAAGGTTCCCGGTTCGATCCCGGGCGTGACTACTCTTTTTGTATTTTTTACACTATAATCTTAGTCTGATAATCCCTGCCTTCTCGTAATGTATACTGTTTGTTTTGATTGTTCGGGTCGTCTGGTATATTGCCTCCAAATTTGGTTTCAAGTTCCATGGTTTCCTCATTCTCACGGTGGGTCTTACTGCGCTTTGCTATACCGTTGATCTTGGTTACTGGTCCCATGCAATCCTCGTAACAAATAATGCCTTGACATGGTACTATAGGCTTTGCCGTTTACTTCAGATGGTTGTCCGTTATGATCGCAACGAATTCCTCCCGGTCTGAAGCACATCAGCATCGTCGTTCGTCTAAGCAAAGGAAGGCGTACCTTTTAGATTGGGGAAGGTGATCGTAATTGGCCCCGATTTGTGCTCTCTATTCTGATTCTTGGCTGCCCCCGATGCTATCTTGGTCATGTTGAGGACCATCCCCCGGGAATAGCTGCTTGGGGGGAAGCTGACCAGATTTCCGGCTCTGGATGGTTCAGATGGTGGTATGGTCATTGTGAGCCACCTGTCCGTTATACGGTCGCTCCAACGCGCAGCAAGACGAATGGTATTTCCATCGCGCCATAGCTGGACTTGTGAGTCTCCTTTCACTGACTTTCTAGGACCGAGGACCAGTAGCTTTTCCTTGGTCATGAGGGATGTGGCTCTCCTGGAGAAGACCAGCTTGTATGTTGATGCAAGCGAGGACATAAATGCCATCAGCACGCGCTCTTCGTGAAACTCCACTGTCATATCCTTGAACTCTTTTTCGCAGTGAGAGAAAAACACTCGACCATCAGCCCGATATAGCTGGTCGACGTGTGAGGATATGTAAGTGGCGAATAATGCACGGGGAAACTTCACACGGAGATTAGAATGGTCGTACAGATAGTCCATATCCCTAAAAAGATAATGTAAACTGCACTGCTTCCATTCCACACGAGTGCGACATATCATCACTGCCTTATAGCGTTTCTCATCGGGCGCAATGTCAGCGACCTCGTATACCTGCCCCGAGCTTTTGGCCTGAGACCAGGTGAAGGCAGGCTTCTGGCTTAGACCCAGAACAGCCTTTTCCAGTTTATCCGCAGCCTCCTGTGAACGAAACTGGATACCAAGGCCTATGTTTGGATTGCTGCCGTCATAGACGTAAGTGAAAAGTGGATGGTAGTTCCCGTCTGTTTTGCTGGACCTCTCCTGACCAGTGTCTGACCATTTCAGCAAGATGAATCCAGAAGCCGTCGTACGACTAACTTGTACATGGCTCAGAGGCATGAAAAACTCTGTAGCCTGTCCGGGTTTGTCAGCTATTGAAGAACTGATGACCATGCGTCGGATAGAGCGCCACGCCTCGCCAAACGACCTTTCCAAGATGCGCACTTCGCAGGATCTGTGTACTGTGGGAGGACTAGTTGACACCATGCTAGGCATCCTCAACTGCTCAACTGATTCGGCCGGACTTTTGAAAGTAACCTTTTCTGTGAATTGGTCGGAATCAAGTGGCTCCCGTATCTGGACGGCATCGAAGTACGCTTTGGGCATGCTGATCACTTGCATAATATCTGACATGTATTGAAACGAAACAGACAAAGTCATTGCGTCAAACTTTAGGGTCAAAGGTTCTGTTGGCTTCGGTACAGATAGATTGGTGAGTGATGCATTTGATACCTGGATCAGCTGAGCTAGATCCCCTGGTGCCACTGTAGATTGAGTTAGTTTCGTCGTTTCTAGCCATTCTAGCCATGTTTATAGACACTTACAGTCTCGTTGTACACAAAATGTTCCGTACTGGTTGCAGAGGCTAATCTTGGGCTCGCTTTCACCATACTTTGTAGACAGAAGTAGCATGTATGGAGCACCTCTGGATCGCATACGGAGCTTCTTGGCCCCGATCCCTGCATTCACGAAAGTGCGGAAAAGAACTTGCTCATCCTCTTTACCAGCATCCTCCAGTTCTACTGTAATATAGCAGAAGTTTCCTGGTTTAGCTGGTTGGCCATCCTTCCCAATCATCTCTTCGGGCTGTATAGGTTCCCAAAAGTCGAGGTTTTGCGAATGGATCGCAGCGTAATCGGGTACATCCACGGCGCTAAATTGCCCAAAGTCCTCTTTGAGACCCTTTGAATTGCTTAGCCTGAACAAAGAAAGATGTCCGTTGGTTGGCTTACGTCTGATAGATCTGAGATCATTTTTCTGATCTCATCCTCCAAAAGCAGCTGTGGGTTGTCACAATTCAAGACTATGTCATATAGAATATATGACGCTTTCAGAAGGTCCACATATGCCTGGTGACTCGAGTTACATGACAGTGCAGACGGGCTCACACTGCCTCTAGTGCTTGCAAGTGTTGATCTCTCGCTATTCGCAAGGGCTGTCCTGGCCTTTACCATATGTAAGCAGCCGGCAAGGGGGAAATGCTAAAAGCGTGTGTATATACCTTCAGAAGCCACCAAACAGCAACTAACAGCCAGCATCTCGCAGTCAGTTGCTGAGCCCGCTCTTCCTTGTGGGCTATATGATCAAAACTTGCGAGAAGTTCTGCATCAGGCTGATGCATCTTATCACGGGGTTCACACCGCAGCGATCGGAACAGCTGCTCTCGTAGTTGCCATCGGTGAAGTTCTTGTATCGCATCAGCTCCTGAATGGCCAGGGCTACCCCACGGCGTTGACTCGCCTGGTTTTATTGAGGTTGATCGTTGAATTCGCCCTTGCTGTTTGATAGCTGAGAATCCAGACCCTGGTCCACGAGACCAAACCACTTCTTTCTCCGTCGAAAAAACCTCTGGCACAACTGATTGTGAAGGGCTGTAAGTCGAAGTAGCTGGACTAGTAGGTGAGGTGTACGTAGTAGCCGTGAAACTAGACGTGTCCGAGTGCCCCGACACAATGGATTCGGAGGAAGCCGAAACATGAGAGGGGTCTTCTGGCGGACATGAGGGTTGTGGAGCGGCGGGGTTTGACCTGCTTGGTTGCGTCCCTTCTAGCTCCGCTAGAATGAAGACATTCTGTTGGCGAGGCGTAGATACTGAAATCGAAATAGGCGAGACGTCGTCATGTGCCTGCCAAGATGAAGGAGTTGGGGGAGGTATATCCTTTGCCGAATCTTTTGTCGCTGAGCTTTCAGTTCTTTCTAACGAAGGCCTAAAATATTAGATACGGTCAACATCTTGGCTAGTTATGACTGCTCACTTGGTAAGAGAGCCGACGCATACGCCCAAATGGCATGTATGAGCCACGATCTTAGACTTAAGATCGTCAATAAATGCTTGCTGTGTCATCCAATCTATGGACTGCCATAGCTGTCTCCCGTTCTCAAACCCTAGATTTCGGTACATATCCACCACCTCCTTCAGCTGCTGTAAGGTCCCTGAGCATGAAATCAGGCACCGATGGAGGGTATGCTTGCATTCCTCATCTGACTCTGCAAGCTCGAACTTTCTGGAGCTGACATCATCTCTCAGGGTCTGAAACACGTTATGCAGGGAATCCAAACTAGCCACAAGCTGATTAAAGCCGTCAGGGGCATCTCCGGAGATAGAATTGCATGTAAGATACAGGTCGCGTGCCAGTTTGGTAAGTTCCGGAACGTCCGCTGCTTCGGAATAGGAAGCCATTCCTACCTTCTTATCAATTAGGTAAGCTATGATGTATTACTAGTGTCAAGGACATAAACACAGGAAATAGGAGGTTGCCGGAAATTTCAGTTGACGAGTAATTCACGAGTAGGCAGCAACTGCAAAACACGGGTGTCAAAGCCAGAGGCTGGTGGAGACGAAGGGCGCAGCACGTAGCCAGTGTCTCAGATGGACAGCTCGGCATACGTATCTTATAAACATACAGGTAGGCGTGAAAGCCACGAGACGAAACTTGAAGGAAGGATGGCGCACATGGGGGGCTTCATGTGACTCTTTCCGATACTGGGGTTGGCGCGAAGTTCCAGTGTACCAACAGAACCCCCGGTTCTTGGGCAGGGCACGATAGTGTTCTCGTGTAGAGAGAGCATCGGAAATGCAACCGACGGGCAAGATCACTACGAGGCGCAGCATAAAGTAGGACAGCAGGGATTGTCATTGCAGAGCTAGGGTACGAGGTAATAGAGTTTGGGCCAGGTGCGAATCACAGTGTCAGGAAGTGATAGCTCCAAGGCGATTCAACGCTCTAGATTCGTTTTCAGCGACAGGTGGTTGGCTGACGTACGGGGTGGTTCCTTTCAGTTTGCCCCAAGAGCAACAAAGAGCGGAGTTGCTATACCCCGGACCATTGCATTGGGGTCAAGTTGGTCAAATCGAACATTCATGTATAGGGTCATAATCGCCATGCTGTGAGCAGCAATCAAGAAAGCTGTATAGCATTGAACTCCATATCGAGATGAACTTGATGAACCTTCTTGTCGGATCCGAGAGCATCGGCTCCGTGACGGACTGTCCATGCCATCAGGAAGGGAACAACATCCATGGGCAGATCATCAACCGCTGGTGCGTGCGGAGTCTATCTAGCGTTAGCGCATAGTTCCTTCCTTTCATCATCCGGATCCAGTCAAAACAACAGCCGCTCGTATCTGCCAATTACGGAACTGTACTTCCCTCCCTCCGCAAAGGGTTGTTCGACAAGTGCCATCAATGAAGATGAACACGACCAGGCCAAATGAAAGAAAGAACAAGAGGGAGAAGTGTGAGTCAAGCTGAAAGAAAGCAAACAAACCCAACAAAGAAAGCGGTGGGTCATCCCGACCTAATTGGGTATAGTTTCAGGGTGCCTCAGGCGGTGACGGAAATCCACGCGTTTCAGGGGTTCAAAAATAGCTTCTCCGTCAACAATAAATAGCATCATCTGTCTTTGATATACTACTTTTGCTTTTGTTTCTCATTGTCAGATCACGCTGTGAGCGAGTGTCGATCACTATGGCATTTATAACATCGCTCGAGCCCCTTTGGGCAGCTTCGAGCCTCCAATTCGAGAACGCCTTTCAATTCATCAAATCCCTCGCCGGTAACCAAACCGACATTCCTAAGACAACCGAGAAAATACTAGAAAGCCAGATTGGCTGGTCCAATCCTCCAGAACCATCCAACATGCCATTCAACATCGACCTGCAAATGGTCTTTTCACTCTTCTACTTTCTCGTCATCTTCCTAATTCCTTTCTTCCTCACCAACTATCTCCTCCCTGCCCCAAGTCACTCCCGACGCGATCGCTGGCTATTCGGATGGCACCTCTTCGATGCCCTAGTCCACTTTGGCATGGAAGGTCTCTTCCTCTTCCATTGCTTCTTCAGCTACGCCCCTATCTCCCCTAGCGAGAGCCGCGACCCCGTCTTCCTCGGTGATAGAGACCACGTCTACGGCGCCACATACTCCAACTCACCAACTGCCAAACTGTGGCATGAATATGCTCAAGCAGACCACCGCTGGGGTGGTGCCGACCCTACCATTATCTCGATTGAGCTGATCACTGTTATCTTCGGCGGTATCACTGCCTCCTTGATCAGCTATTGGGTCTATCAAGCTGCCGGCCGGCAGTCGAGGGAGAAGGAAGCGATCAAGGCAAAGATGTGGTTCATGATGATTGTGTTGGCAACGGCCGAGATCTACGGAGGCTTCATGACCTTCCTGCCGGAAATGTTGACTGGTAATACAGCGTTGGCTACTGATAGCTTCCTGTATTTCGTGCTCTATATTGTTATCTTCAACGGCCTCTGGGTCGTTGTCCCCGGTTGGATACTGTGGGAGGCATGGAAGGAGTTTACCGGCTCCTCCACCGTCATTAAGAGGCAGCGGGACAACAGCTCCCCCAGACACAAGCTTGGAAGGTGACTAGATGAACAGAATGTTCGAACGGACGATATGTCCACACGGAGGCAGCCCCATTACATGTGAGAACATACTGTCGGGGCTGCGTGGAGGATTATGATACCCTGTCTTTTGCCTGACATGACCTAACGGGGATGCATAAGCGCTTATTCTTTTTCTGGTATACTTTTTGACTATATACTTTGGTTATGATTGTTTGATACTTACTAGCTCCTGATTAATGTTCATTGCATATACCATTACATCAAGCATACCACATCTGATCTCATCTCATCTTATCTTGGTGACACAACCACCTGGTAACCCCACAAACAGTGACGCATAAACAGCTCACACAATCATCCATAACCAATGAAAGCCTAGTATTGACCGAGATGTCAAACAATCGCGAAAATCCACTCTTGGGGAGCCAGCCAATAGCTGTGTGCGCCGGAGACGCGTCGACGTGAACTGCCGAGTTAATCTAATCTATGACTCACTTAATATATTACAAGTGAATGACAGCATCCAGCTGGGCTGGGATAGGTACTTACCGTGTTACATAGCCCATCCCAGGCAGTCTAACAAGCACGCATATGATTCACAACGAGAGAACAAGTAATAATGTAATAGACGTCAACTCAAGGGAATCCCCATCTACCCATACTACAAACTAAACAAATTCCAAATCGGCCCCATAGCCAACAAATCCTCCATACTAACATCAGGCACCCCTCCATCCAAAACAGCCCCAGGCCCACTTGTAGAAGACGCCGCCATCTGGACCTGCTCCTGATTCCACCTCCACTTATCCATAGTAGCGCAGCGCGCCTGGTGCGCCTCCTTCCACATGACCGTCCTAGCTTTGATATGCGTGAAGATAGGCGGAACATAGAGATTCTCGGCCGTCGCCTGCGCAACAGTTTCATCGACTTTCAGCGAAAACGTGTCGACGGTGTCTTCGAAGCTTACTGTCTGCCGGGCCCACTCTCGGTCCCAGCAGCCCGTGGGGTCGTTGTGGACGAGGAGCCGAGACAGGATGGCGAGGCCGTGGCCGACTTGCGTCCAGCAGGTGTATGGGAGTTGGAGGTAGAGGATGGGTGGGATGGAGAGGAGGGTGTCGAACAGAGATCGTGCGGCGTTGAGGCAAGCGCAGAGAATATCGATTTGGGTGATAGGGTAGTTGTTGAAGGTTGTGTCTTCGAAGTCGCGCTCTAGGGCTATGCGGTATAGAAGCATCTCGAGGGTGTGGTAGTGCATGTTGAGGATTACTGGGGTGTTTGTTAGGTCCGAGGGGGGTGGGTTAGGCTGGTGGAGGGACGTACGAGATTGAGTGAATTCTCCTGAATATGAATCTTTGAGTTGTTGGATTTCCTTCTGTAGCCACCGTATTGCCATGGCTTTGGGTGCTAGGCCGGTAGGAGTATCCTTTTCGTGGTACTGGACGGCACGATAGATTTTCTCGCCCATGTGGGCTATGCGGACTAGCTGCAGGAGGTACGGATCGGTTTCACATTCGGCTGCTTCTTGGATTCTGCGGCAGCAGTCGTCGGTGTATGTTGTGTATTCCATGGGTTCCTTTTCTCCCAGGCATAGTGATAACCTGTTACGGTCAGTGTTGACTCATTCTGGATGGATGATATTACTCACATATTGACCATGTAGTAGCACCCGAGGTAAGCTCTCAGTTCCTCCAAGGTGCGGGAATTGCGCATGCGCTCATCATATTTGAAGACCCGAAGGTAGGAGAACACCGTGCCCGGAGTACACAACTTGTTTTCCCGATGAAAGTCGAGGTTGATCACCTGCGCCTCCAGAATATGGAGGTAGTTATTGATCATCGTCGAACGGGGCGCAGGAACCATGGTCTGTGTCCTGATGAAGTGTGAGAGGATTGATATCAGACGCTGCATGTAAGTAGGTGCTCTCACCAGCCAAGGTACGCGAGGAATCCTTGAAGTAGGTCCAAGCTGTGCTCCCCGTTAGCTAGCATATGCTCCATCCAGTAATCTCTAGCTTTAATTGAATGAGCCAGCTGTGCAGATCCATTTTGGCAGACAACCGCTGGAATAACCAGGTTTAGAAATGGCTTGATGGTGCGTAAGTCGTCCAGACCTATACGAGGCGAGCGTACCACAAACGGAAGGAACCTTGTGATACGCTCATTGAAGTCTGCAAGCATTTTCTCCACATCCTCATCCAGTACAGGAGGAAGAACCAGAGTGTTGTCAGTAGCAGAAAATGGACTAGCATTGCTGCCACCGATGCTATCTATGTACCGTTGTGAGGCTGTGAGCAATGAAGTCACATTATCGAGCTTCTTTTCTAGTCGGCCGACGTCACTACTATACGGACTAGTCAGTAGCCATAGGTATTACTTCATGCGCACTCGTAAACACATACGACACATTATGCCGCTTTCCCGTGTGCGGCTTCGAAGCCTGCCTGGTGCATTCTTTCCCCAGACGATGACATCTGGCTCCATCGTTAGTGCTTATCCTTTGATCGGGTGACCTCGTCCGTCTCTACCTTTGGCAAGCATCGGTCGGACCGGGGTCGCAGCGGACCTTGGCTTTGGAACACGGTCTGCAGGCTTTAAGATGTCGAGCATCAGGAGTGGACATGTCGGTCGGGAACGGGACAGAAGGGAGGCGTGGTTGTGATTTGAAGATGTGCAGGGAGTGAGATGGTGGTGGTGCCGGTCGGCATAAGCGGCATCCCGCGTCCGTGTCGGCAGCCTTTAGCACCGATTGTATAGATGTCAGATACAATAAACTTTACCCGCAATGTTGCAAGATATAAGTGGAGATTGCATTCCCTTTTTCTTTTTTCGATGACCAAGAAGCACATATCTAACATTCTTGAACACTTTATTCAGCAACACAATGACGGTGACAGACGACTGCACCCAACGCTACCCAGAAACCGGCATATCAGTCCTGATAGTCGGGGCCGGGGTCGCAGGACTAATGGCTGCTCTCGAATGCTGGCGCAATGGACACGATGTTCGAATCGTCGAGCGATCTCCTGAAGAAGTCACTACAGGTAAGCAAGCCATCGTTCTGACCGACACAACTGAACCCGACACAGCTAACAAGCCTACCAGGTGACTCGTTCACAATCGGCCCTAGTGCAACCCGCGCATTCAAACATTGGCCCAATCTAGCCGAAGAGAACGAAAAGATTGCATTCGTGCCTCATCTCGCCTTCTACACATTGAGTGGCGACCGTATAACAGAGCCGAATCATGTTGAATACAGGCAGGACAAGGGTTCCAAAAAGGTGCCAGGGCAAATCACCCGCCATTGGAGACCTCAACTTCACAGCATGCTTCTCAAGCAGCTCTATGCCATCGGTATCAGCGTCGAATATGACTGCAGAGCTGTGGAATATTTCGAGCGAAGTCATACTGAACGTGCAGGTATAATACTGGCGGATGGCGAACGGCTAGAAGCAGACGTCGTCATTGCTGCCGATGGGTTGAGAAGCCATTCGACCAAAGTGACACTGGGGCAGGAGATTCGGGCACGACCAACCGGACAAGCCCTTTATCGGACAGCCTTTCCGGTCGAGATAGCCATGAATGATCCGATGGTTCGAGAGCGATTTCCGGTTGTAGGTGAAAAAGAAGGACCGATTGAATTTTGGGCTGGGTATGACTATACCTCCACAAGATATCTATCTGCGTCATGAATAATTCATACTGACTGACAAAAGCGAGCACTACCATTTCCTCGTCATCAGGACATCTGATACAATGTCCTGGACTTTATCCCACAAAGTGAGTTAAGCAGACATTTTGCCCTAACAACACAACAATATATAGCCTGATCGCTGCCCCTATAAATCTAACATCGCAAACAACCCTAGGACTACGAAAGCGCTACCGAATCCTGGTCCCACCAATCCGACCCCGAAGACGTCCTCAAAATAACTTCAACTATCCCAGACTGGCCAGAAGTAGCCAATCGGCTAATCCGTCTCACACCCAAAGACCGACTCCTTCACTTCCGCGTTATGTGGAGAGATCCCCAACCCACCTGGGTCTCACCAGCAGGCCGTATCGTACAGATCGGGGACGCCGCACACACCTACATCCCAGCGTCAGGCAACGGCGCAACACAGGGTATTGAAGATGCAGTGTCGCTGGCTACATGTTTACGAATGGCGGGAGGAACAGATCAGGTGCCGTGGGCGTTGAGGGTTCATAATCGACTACGGTACGTCTATCACCCTCTTCTAATCAAACCCAGAATAACATTGGAAAAATTCAAACAAAGATTGAATCTAATCCACATACAGCTTCATCCGAGTCTCCTGCCTCCAAAAGCTAGGCCTCATCAATCTGAAAAGCTACTCCGAAAAGCCCAAGAAAAACAACTTCATACCAAAGGGGCTCCAGTATCTAACAGCGGAGTGGATCTGGGGCCATGAGCCGGAGAATTACGCCGAGGAGAACTACAGCAAGGTACTGGATCATTTGCAGCGGGGCACGCCGTTCCAGGATACGAATATACCCCGCGGTCATGTGTATCGGGACTGGACGATTGATGAGATGTTGGAGATACAGGAGAGGGGGGAGGATATTGAGTTGGATGGGGAGTGGGAGTAATTCTGCTGTCTAATAGCGTTGTGTTTATACCCAGTATATACTACCTATTATTATGAATAAATCGTAACTGGTTTAAAAATCCGTACAAGAACCATGCTAACGACGAATATAGAATAAATGCAATTGGGAATCATATACAACTCTCAACCAAAAACAGCATATATACAGGTAAAACACAAATATCACTTCCTAGCAAACCGACACCATTGATCGTTTACCACCGGCGGTACTACCAACATCATTAGCACAAAAACAAGGACATATTGGGGAGTGCCATATCTAACATACCTCAGGAGGTCCCGGAGGGGGAGGAGGACCAGGAGGACCAGGACGGTCCCAAGGCCCGGGGGGCCCAGGAGGAGGAGGAGGGCCACCATGAGGGCCACCAGGGCGATCCCAAGGATCCCTAGGACCCGGAGGAGGGGGAGGTCCCGGGGGGCCACCAGGGCGGTCCCAAGGGTCTCTGGGGCCTGGGGGAGGAGGAGGGCCAGGAGGGCCGCCAGGACGGTCCCAGGGATCTCTCGGTCCCGGAGGAGGAGGAGGGCCGGGAGGACCATCGGGGCGACCCCAGGGGTCTCTTTGATCGGGAGGAGGACCAGGAGGGCCGGGAGGGCCGGGAGGAGGAGGACGAGCCCAGGGGTCTCTGGGATCATGAGGAGGAGGGCCGGGAGGGCCAGGTGGTGGTGGGCCACCAGGACGGTCCCAGGGCCCGGGGCCGCCTGGAGGAGGAGGGGGCCCCTGGGGACCGGGAGGAGGGGGATTATGGTGGTGATGGTGTGAGAAAAGTCCCATTGTGACCAAGTTGTGAGGATGGATGTGAGTGCTGTCTAAGGATGGAGAAGGTTGTTAAGGTCTTAAATAACCACGTTGCTTGAGGCTTGGGCGGCGGGGTGGGGAGAGGGGCCACAGTAGGCAACGCCTTTCTTTAAGCAGATGTGGGACACTTGTTTTAGCCGTGGTAATTATAGCATGGATGATATCGTTGAGTGTGTATGGGGCTCTTATGTGGCTGGGTTGCTGCTAAATACGTAGTGCTATGGGTATGAGACGGCGGTTCTATGTTCAACCAGCGCCTCCGTTCTCCTCCGACTTTGACATTGTGTCCCAATGATTCAAATTATTTAGGGGGGAAGGGAATGTAAACAATGTTGCCTATCAGGGGCTGTCAAACAAGTCGAATCCATGGGTTAGACTGGGGAATATTATTGAGACGAAGGGGCGTCTAATTCCAAGTTTAGGGTTCGTAGTCTCCATATTTTTGGTACGTGGTTCCTGACAAGCCGCGCTGTGGGATATTTTGTGCTGGATGGGGCGCTGCTCATTAACTGTGGATGATATTGACTACTGAGAAGAACAGGTTGTCATGAATTAGAAACCAATCTCAGTCCACCGTATGCGAGACTAACTCTCAATTACTCACGCCTGATATCATTCCGATTTCCGAAGCAGAAAGTGGCCACACGTCGGGTTCGGTCGACAGCGTTTAGGGCACAATTAGCGCCTCGGAGTGGATCAAAGCATACGTATGGCCCCCCACTATCGCCTCAGCCTTGGGAAGGTTGATGTAGATAATCGTTTGATTCTACTGTTGTTCGAGAAAACATCTAGAGGCTAAGCCACATCATCGTTTGGGAGACAGCTTGCTGACGTGTTGCTTATCTGCTCTGCATACATGCAGGTGTCAACCCACTAAGATAGCCACGTCGTTGGGCTGAACATATCAATGGTATTGAGCAGCAGGAGTTCGAAAGCTTCCGGGTATAGTTTTATCCATTTGGCTTTGCCTCAAACACGAGGCATTGTGTTTGTCGATTTTTCTAGTGAAGTTTGTGAGACGTTCACGGTACTGGTTAAGGGGGAGGAGCGACCCCTGTGAATGGATCTAACAAAATTACCCGAGCATCAAATTCCAAGTGTCAAGCCTACCCTATATGAAGTCACAAAACGAAGCATAATGTCCAAAAGAGCACTAATTCAGAAATATGCAGTAGGTGTCTGTCAATGATGAAGGCGCTCTCAGAGCGTCCTGTTGACATTCCCTACATCCGAAACAATTGATATCTATGTACATGCATCTTATTCTTCGTCTTCATCATCGCTCACTTCTTCACCGGCTTCAATAGCCTCCTGTCTCCTCTTCGCCGCAAGTTCCCTCTTCCTCTCTAGCAGCTTTTTCAATCTTTTAGCCGTACTGAATAATCCATTCGTGGCGGATCCACAGGCTGCACAGCTTGGATCCTTCCTGTACCTTTGCAGAGCACACTGCTCGCAGAAGTAATGACCGCATTTCGTGACGATAGGCTCCCTGTATGGCCCCTTACAGATGAAACAGGCAAAAGGAATGTCTTCCAGCATGGCCTCTTCATCATCGTCCTTGTTCTCCGTCGTTGTCCGGTCGGCACTCGCGACCACTGTTCCCTTCAATTGTTTGCCCTTGGTGACGGTCTCCCATTCTCGATCAAGTTCCCATCCTTGTTTGTAGTCGCTTCGATCGTGAAGGAATTTACTATACACGAATTGTTAGCATATGTTTCCAAAAAAAGAGAGTACCCCCTATCAGGTGGCAAATATGTCTGTTGAGGGTAAGACACTTACCAATTATCACCGAAACCACAGAACCCAGTCTGCTTGTAATCCTTGCACACATCCGGAGAGTAATCTGTCACCGTTATGGTACGGATATTGGTCGCCGCCTTGATCGGTCCAAATGATCTGTTTGGCGCATTCGGATTCTTCTTGATGAATGACGTCTGGTTTGCCAGTCCCTTATATGTGCCGTCCGGCATCTGCGGCTCACTCGAGATAGCTTGAGCCTTAGACGAACGCGCATCCTTAGAATCCTCGTCGAACCAGTCGACATGCTTTGTGGCGTCGTTTGTATCCGCAAGCTGGACTTTGCCATCACCGGTGGCGGTGGTCGCAGGTTCCCGATCGACAGGCTTGGTAGTGGCGGATGAAGCAGATACGACTCCAGCACCCTTGTTCTTTCTGCGCTTTATCCTGTGACCGGATTCGTCTTCAGAGGAGGAAAAGTCGGAAGAATCGTCGTCTTGCGATACGGGAGGCGGTGCTGGTCTTTTGCGGATGTTCTGACTGGCCTTTGCGCCACGCTTTTTGAAGGTGACAACCGGGGGTTGAGGGTCTGCAGCTGCAGCTGCAGCTGTCTCGTTTGTCGTCTCAGCCATTGTGATATGAGCGACAGGTCTGCGACGGGGATCTGTGAGTTGATGCGAGATGAGAAATGACCAAGCACATCAAGGACGCGATAAACGTGATGCGCCCGGATCATGTGATGATAAGATAGAGTTGTTACTCACGTGATCATACATCTGCTGATGTCATCATCGAAGACGCGCGAAACTTCCTGAGTAACTTCTTATTATCAATGAATGAAGGGAATTTTGTACACCGATGACCAAATCCGCTAATACCTGGTTTGCCTAGTGAGCGCCTTCAGCAGAGTTTATGCGCGGCGTCATGGCGCAGGTGCGTCAGCCTTGTGCTGCGCCACGGCAGGTGCCACCGAACTGGTGGTGTATCCAGCATAAAATTGACGAACGCCGGGTGATTGGAATTGCAGATGAAAGTAAGTTTCTCCGAGAAACTGCTTATGACAGTTGCCTACTTGGTTGCGATCATCATGACTTGATGCTCTCAACGACAGTCAAGGAGAGTGAGACAAAGTATAAGACCAAGAAGGCAGCAAAATTACAAAAAGTTTTGCTCGATCTCGGGATCGAACCGGAGATCCCGTGGGTTGCAGCCTTAACCACTGGGCCAATGGAGCACAACCAAGGTAAATCGGTGTTACTGCCGCCTGCCCGACCATAGCACTCAGGGTATGAGTATGTACTATGTAGCATATCAAACCAGGGTAGTCCCTGCCTGCTTTGACATAACTTTGTGGATCCTGCTAAACTCTTCCGATCCCACGGTTCCTTCCCAAACTGGGGATCTTCGAGAGGCGGTGCTCATCATGACTTCGCTCCGCCTCTGTTCGCGGAATAAATACCCTGGCCCTCTCCTCTCCCTGAAGCTTCCTCTTCCTCCTTAATAACAGATAGATCCTCCTCTATTCCTATACCATCATGTATCCCCATCAGAACCGTATGTGATGCCCCACAATTGTCCCCGCGTTCCTGCATCATGCTGATCAAGCCCTTCATCACAGGCCCTCCATATCCTCCATTCACTGGCCCGCCGCAGGGCTACGGTCAACAACAGAACCCACCACCATTTCCTCCTCAGAACCAGCACCACATGGCCTCTCCACCTTACCCGAACCAGCCTGGCTACCCTCCCTACGGCGCTCCACACCCTAATCAGCCTCCATATCCTCATACCCCGCAAGGCGCTCCTCCAGGTCGACTAGATATGTACCACGGGGGCCCACAAGGATATTCGCAAGGCTTGCCTCCTCCACAGGGCGCTCCTCATGGATCGTTCGGTGCGGCACCTCCCTTGCCACCACACCCTCAATCTTATCCCCCGCTTGCGTCCGTGCCATCATTGGGCTACGTTCGAGGTCAGCAAGCGAACGGGGACTTCCGACCCCAAGCCGATCAGCTCCGTCGCGCAATGAAAGGCTTCGGGACAGACGAGAAGACCCTGATTCAGGTTCTCGCCAAGTTAGACCCTCTCCAAATGGCCGCCGTACGATCCGCCTACACACACCACATCCGTCGAGATCTCTACAAGGATGTCAAAGGCGAGACTAGCGGCTACTTTCGTCGGGGTCTCCTAGCTATCATTGATGGCCCGTTGCAGTACGATGTGGCCTGCGCCAGGGAAGCTGTCGAAGGCATTGGGACGAAGGAATGGCTTCTCAACGACATCCTTCTTTCCCGGTCCAATGCTGATATGAACGCCATAAAGGCCGCTTATCACCAGACATACCACCGCGCTCTCGAAAAGGACGTTGAAGATGACTTGTCATTCAAAACCCGGAACTTATTTACCCTGGTACTTCGCGCCTCTCGACACGAGGAATCAGCCCCATTAGACCCGCAACTCATCGAAGCAGAAGCCAAGTCCCTTCACCAAGCAACGGCGGCGCGAATGGTCAACAATGTTGATGAAGTATGTGGTACCATAGCCAGGGCCTCCGATAACGAGCTCCGTGCCCTCAATCATGCGTTCTACAATCGTTACAACATTCAATTGACTAAGCACATCGAGAAAGAGTTTTCCGGGCACATGAAGGATGCACTGCTGCATATGCTTGGGGCTGCGTTGGATCCGGCCATGCACGACGCTGAGCAGCTCGAAGACTGCATGAAGGGAATGGGAACCAAGGATGAGAAATTGGTGACAAGAGTGGTCCGCCTGCACTGGGCGCCTGGGCATTTGGACCAGGTGAAACGGGCATATCGCCATCGGTTCCAGAAAGATCTTATCGAGCGGGTCAAGGGGGAGACCAGCGGTGATTACCAGCGATTGATGGTTGCTTTATTGCAGTAGCCGTACATGCTATCGCTTTTTTAATGTTTACTCCACGAAACAGCCATGACTTACGACTGGGCAGGGTATGGGATGGTGCGGCTGGGTCTGTTTCTGCATTATCGTTATGGGCGATGATAGACTGGGCTGGATGGCTACTTCTCTTTGCCTTTATTTAGTTTACTGAATTGCGATGATTATCATCAACGCAGGTTAATTCTACTTAGCTAGTTCTTTCCATCAATGGGACCATCAAGATTGATTGCAATCTGTGAACCTGACCTATCAACAACCTTTATTTTATATCTGTATTTTTCATTGACCTATTCGTTCATTCATCATAGAAAAGTAACAACAACATATACTACATACAAAACATAAGTCATAAAACATATCATCATCATCAGTCAGTAAAGCGTAAACAAATCACACAGCAAAGAAAACAAACAACAAATTCAACAGCATGAAAAGAAACCCCGAACTGTCACCCTCACCATCACCACCATCGTCATCATAAGCCATCAATCAAACCACCTCCCCCGCAACAAACACATGCGCCCCCGGAAACAACCCCGTCAATCCCGCATAACACCCCCAGTACCAGTCATCATTGATATTCTCTGCCTCGGTGATTTCCGCTCCGCGCGGGAACATCAGTTCGTCTTTGACTCCGTCTTCGGGGTACCATGACCATAGGGCATGGACGACTAAGCCGACGCCGCCGTCGGGTGGGTAGCGGCGGGTGCCATTCGTGGGTGTCGTAGAATTTGTTGGGGATGAAACTTGTGAGGATATAGCTGGGTTGGATATAGTGAAGGGGGAAGGTGTGGTGATGGTGGGTGTGCTTGGTTCTGAGGAGCGGTCACGGTCACGATCACGATCACCGATAGTCCAGGGTCTAATCCGAGAAGCCTTTTTGCGTCGCTCAGAGCCCTCTTTCCAGCTCCAGTCGCCGGAGCCAACTTCAGGGGAGGCGATGGTGGAGTTGGAGGTGGAGATGGTGGTGATTGGGGGGGCGGTTGGAGAGGAGGGCTGGATGAGGTGGTCGTCGTTGAGGGCACGACCGCCTACGAGGTCACGGAGGATGACGCGGCGTTGGCCTTCTTCGTGGTCTTCGAAGCCGATCACGGCCATGCGGTGGCCTTTCAGGCAGCGGCGCCAGCCGTTGTGGCCGTTTTCTTTACGGATTTTGCCGATGGCCACGAGACGGAGGTAGCAGTTCGTGCAGATGTCGTAGTCGCCGTTGTTGCATTGGAGGCAGTGGAAGCGCGGGGTGGAGTCGGGGATGGGGTGCGTGCAGATGTCGCAGTTTGTTGCGATGGAGAGGATCTTGTAGGTTTCAAGAGATGGGGAGGGCGTGTTGTCGGTTGTGGTTGCGGTAGCGGTTGGAGTTGAGTTGCTGTCGGGTGGTATGCGGCAGATGGGGAGGAGGGCATGGGTGCAGCATCGTCCTTGGTTCACGCAGCGGTTGCAGAAGCCCCAGTCGCCTTCGTTGCATTGGTCGCACTTCCAGTAGCAGTCGTTTGCTGGAGATTGGCAGCTATCGCAGAAGAAGCCGGTGGTTAGTCTTTGGGCTGGGTCGTCGGTGGTCATAACTCGTCCGTCTCGGTCGGTTCGGTAGGCTATATCTGGTGCCCGACGGTACTTGCACGACTGCAAGATGTGCTGCTGGGAGCTGCTGCGAAGTGGCGAGGGATGGCCACTTGAAGAAGCGATAATACGTTCAAAGTCCGCTTCTGCGGACTTGGCGAAGCCTGCCCATTCGAGACACCCTTCGCCGGTGCGATAGCATCTCAAGCACAGGTGGTATTCGCCATCATTGCATTTGGGACATTTCTTGTGTAAGTCATATTGTAGCTTCTCCTTGCCACAACGATCGCATGAAATAGACGGTTCGCGGAACATGATAGCAGAGCGAGGCGCATTGGACCGAGACGAAGATGGTCGAGATCGCGCCTCTGATCTGCCTGTCCCTCCCACTTCTGCTACCAAGGAACTGCTCGCAGGCACAACCACCCCCGGACTCGCTGGCCAGGATCCGGTGTGTGTATTCTGCTCAGGAGCTGCAACCACCCGTGGTGAATCGATGGATAATCTACCAGGAGCTCGTCGGATGGCACGTTCCCTAGCTCCTTCCACCCAGATGTTCGGTGTGCTCTGCTCAGATGCCGTGGCACGTCGAGAGCGCGGCGACGAATCCGTTCTGACTCGGGCAGCCTGCGAATTTCGGGGACGGTCAGTAACCACGTCACTAGACGATCGCGCTGCAGGCCTCAGCGTGACCTCCGACGAAGAAGCAGGATTTGCAGGCACCGGTGATGTTCGCCGACGGCTGCTGCCTTGATCCGACAACCGCCTCTGATGACCCGGATTCCCATTTCGTGCCATGAGCGGATCTAGTAGATGCGGTCTCGATACAGGAGGATTCCGGCTAGTCTCGTTTGGCGTGGTGGAACTTTCCTGTGGTCTCTGCGTAGAATGCGAGCGAGCTCGAGCCCGTGACGACGTCTGATTCGTCTCCCGCGCCTGCAACCGTTGCTGCGAGCGAGACCGCAGCCTATGCCTCCGACGATAAGCATCAGCGATGCGCTCACTAAGCTCCTCTTCCTGCGCCGGACCCAGATTATCAAAGTCGATATCATCCAACAGCCCCTCCTCCAGAATCTGCCGTAGAATCTGATCCTGTATCGTCTCCGTATCCGACAAACTCAACAACGACCGCAAGCTAGACTGATGCTCTATGCGTCTATTGCGCTCCGCAGCAGTCTCCCCTTGCCGTCGCCGCCCAGCACGCTCCTCTTCTCGCCGTCGTTGTCGCGCCCCATCCACCTCAGCGCTCGATTCCGTGCGACGAGTCCGCGACGACTGCCTCGACCGATGACCAGTCGTAGCAGTAGCATTCCTCGACCGGTTCCGACTTTCCTGCAAACTCAATTCCCTTACCTCCTCCAACAACCTCCGATCCTCATCATCCGAAACATCACCGCTCCGATCCGCCGACGACAAAACAGGGAACACCGAATCACCATGTTTGTATCTCAGCGCAATCTCCTCCTTCTCCTCAGCCGACTTATCCCGATCGGGACTCGCCGCCAGGACCATATCCAGTAACGTAGTAACGGTAGCATTAGGGCGGGTTTCACGGACCACCGCGCGACAAGACGGACAAGTGAAGCGGACGGAAGATGACGACCGGGCGCGGGAGGCTTGTGCAGTGAACCATTCTTTGAGACAGGAGCCGCAGAAGGTGTGCAGGCAGTCGAGGAGGGTAAGAGGCTGGTAGAGCAGATCCGTGCAGATCTGGGGTCGGAGGGGAGAGAGTTAGCCGGTGAACTTTAATAAACTGCAACAGAAACAATCCGAGGATTCGTCTTGCTGCTTCTGGTCTGTCTAGCATCTACTGGGAATAATTTCCGGCCAGTTATTTCGCTAGTCGATCAAGGCGAAGCAAGGGACGGTGAGATATTTCGTGGGTGGGGGAGTCGCAGACCGCATTCCGCACATCTCCTTCCCCCCACACTACTTGTGGATGGATGATGATGGATTTACTTACCGAGCAGGTGAGTTCTTTCTCCAGGTCCCCTAGACCGGGACCGGGATGGGGGTCGGTCGACATGGGGTATGCTGGTTGGAGAAGAGATGTTAGATAGATTTTTTGGGTGTCATAAAGGGAGGAAAGGAAGAGAAAGAGGTGAAGAGAAGAGTAGGAGTAAAAGGTAATTGACAGGGCGAGTAAACAGGCGGTGGTTGGAGAGCGAATCAATCGATCGGGCGTCCCGCGGGTCGATCGCGGCTCGGATCCACTGAAGAACCAAGTTCATTTACCCAAAGTTATCATTCTACAATACTAAGTAACTAATCGCTAAATAATGTAACAAGATACACGATTATTCTGCTTCTCACTCAGTCCTTGCCATATCCCTCCTTCTCCCAAAACCAATGGTACAGACTCTTCGCACTACCATCATCCTCGACATAATCTCCCACCATCTCCGCCGTCTCATTCGAATCCGCCAAATCACTGGAAGTCATATCCACCGTCACACCCCCAGCCTGGTGACTTAGGACTTCTTCCGTGCCGCTCCGTGTTCTCTCGGCCAAATCACGAGCACCCTCACGAGCAGCATCAGCAAACTCCTCCGCTTGCTCGCGAGCCCTTTGAAGCAGTTCCTCTGGGGTCGGATACCTCCGAAGCGCAATGAGCAGCAGATAATAACTCTTCACAATAGCCGAATACACCGCATCCTTCGCGAGCATCGTAAACCCATGGGAAAAGAACCCCTTGAGCACCTCCCCAGGAAGTCCAGCATAAAGCGCAGCAACACCTTCAGTGCGCGCAATCGCAACCACATTACTAACAATCGCCGGCATCAACGACACCCCTTCATCCTCCTTTCTCTTCTCCCTATCAGATCCCACCGTAATTTGACCCCCCGCAACTTGCGCCCGCGTCTTCGCCATCGAAAACGGATAAGTCACGGACGAAGCAATCGACTTGCTAACGGCCGCCAAGAAGAACGTCGCCACAGCAGACGGTCTCTTCTGTCGCTGACTCCTCGGCAGCAACGCATACTTCAACACAGCATTCAGAAAGAACGTAATCGACGGATTCAACGTGAGTATCAACGAAGCCGAATACCCCGACCAGAACCCCCGCAGTCCCTTCTCAGCCCTAATCCGCGCCGCAATCTCCCTCGTACTCCCACCACCAACATCCTTAGCCGTCTGCTTCCTCGCCACAATATTCGCCAACGGCGTCGTAAACAACTTAGCAAACGCCCCCGCCAAAACCCCCACCGCTAACTCATCCAGCACCGGTAAAACAGTATGTTTGCTGCGGCGCGTATTCCCGAACCGGGCACGTATCCTGCGCTGACGAAAGAACTCGTACGCAAGGAAGAAGAGAAATGAATCCGCAACGGACTTTATCGTATCCTGCGCTAGACCCGTGTAGAAACTGGCGATTCCTTCCTCGGCGTAGATTTTGCGTGCTGCGTCGAGGACGCTGGTATATTCGGCGTCCGACTCTGATTCACCCGACTTTGTACCGCTTCTCACTTTCTGCGTTTGCAAGCGCGCAACGATCAAACTCAACGGATACGTCGCGACGTTCGAGAGCGCGGAGCCGACTGCTCCCGCCACGGCATTGCCCAGCGCTGGAAGTGCGGGCCCGCTGAGAGCGGCGCGCTTCCAGTCGAGGTTCGGTTGGGGTTCTTTGTAGCGGTGGTAGAGCTGAAAGGAATCCTTTTATATCAATAGCATTCTCGTTAGTATTCTTCGTATCCCATCCCCCTTCCTTAAGGATAAAGAAGGAACAATTAATGACATCATTCAATGACCTTACCAGCTCCGAATCATACTCCACCTTGTACTCCGACATATTGATTCAACTTGGCTGGAGAAATCGCCAAGAATATGGTGACTGTGTTTCAGAGAAGATAGACAAGAAATGTGGGAGAGAGATGATAATGATGATGATCTACCAAGAATGTGCAGATTGACGGTTATTTAGTCAAGTGACTGACCCGATAGGACAATCAACGGTCAACGACTAGCTAGAAGATGCATGTCGTGTGGGCATCAGACCACCCAGTCTTGCACATCGCCTGAATACTAACTAGTAGGTAGTAAGCAGGCAGGTACAGTGATATATGATATGATGTGATGGATGCTTGTGCCGACCGAGGTAAGTTCTCTCGTTCTGTGCTACGGATGCTTCCAGACCCTTACGTCATGTGGAAGGTGGCCTGTGCGGGGGTGCATGTGATCGGGTGATTTTCTATCCTCCTACAGATTCCAGAACAATTTGGTATAAGAAAGAATTCCAGTTACGATGTCTGTGCTATATAAACACACTACGGCTGCAAAAGCAAATAGCAAAGAAATAAGTATCAACGATCATTCACGTGATATTTCGTCCATCAAGCCTCGAAGGGGCCGTCTAGATACAATGATTTCGAATCCATCCATCCGATCCCATCCATTAACAAGAGAATAAGCAAGTTGTAAGAGTATCAAACCCGTGGACATAATCCATTCCAATTGTAGAAAAAAGAACCCCAATTATCCCAAACCCCAATACCGTAACGAGTCAAGAAAAGAAATAACCCCCAGAAACCAGAAACAGAATGTACGGCGGATCCTGCCGGTCTAGTCCACACCTCAGTCGAAGGTTCACAACCAGAGAGATGACAGACACCAGAGCAGTAATCCTTTCCGAGTGGTTGAAGACAATCTAACCACCGAAACCGTACAGGGTGCGGCCCTGGCGCTTGAGGGCGTAGACAACGTCGAGGGAGGTGACGGTCTTGCGCTTGGCGTGCTCAGTGTAGGTGACAGCATCACGGATGACGGACTCAAGGAAGGACTTGAGGACACCACGGGTCTCTTCGTAGATCATGGCGGAAATACGCTTGACACCACCACGGCGAGCGAGACGGCGGATAGCGGGCTTGGTGATACCCTGGATGTTGTCACGCAAGATCTTACGGTGACGCTTGGCGCCACCCTTGCCGAGACCCTTGCCTCCTTTTCCGCCTGTGAGAGAATGTTAGTACATGTTGAGTGATGGCGTTGTTTAATTAAGTAAAGGAGGTATGTGAGGGTGGAGTGAAGATCAGATGGAATCATGGATACGACGCGTGGGCGTGACAGGTACGCGGTCACGTGTTGCCAGGGGTGCATCATCAAGATTATCCAAGATCATCACCACCATCCCCCAACCCAGGAGTAGGGAACGACGAGAAACTAATAGCTGAAGTAAGAAAAGAAGATTAAATACTTACGTCCAGTCATATTGCTGAGATGAGATTAATTGATTGGGACAAGTATGAGATGGAAGATTGATGGAAGGTGGTGGGTGGTGGGTGGTTTGGCGTGACGCGTTGCGGGCCGGTCGCTGAGAGGAAGAAAAGAGTCGAGAGAGAGCGAAAGAAGGTGGCGGAGAAGGAGGAGCCACCGGTTTATATAGGTTTCGCGGTGCGGGCGGCAAGCGAGAGCGTGATCTCGCTGCTTTGCCCCTTGGAGTGAATGACTAAGCCCCAGAGGGTGATCTGGAAGGCTCAAAAGCAATGGAGAAGCCTGATTGGCGGGCCGCGGGGGTGAAAAAGGGCGTTATGAACGACCGCTTTCGAGGTGGTGATTTTGCGGGTTGCGGGTTGGCGCTGTTCCCGCTGGGGACCAACTTCTGCTGCTGCCCGCGCGGCTCAGGCCGTAAGGCGGCGGGTCCGTCACGTGAGACTTGGCGGCCGGATGTCACTTCCTCACCCACTATACGCTGTACAACATACAGAATTCTACTCTCTACATCGGTGGCAACTTGCATCTCTCGCAATCTAATCGGTTGTATTGTGTACCATTGCATAGTCTGTATTGCAGCTACACGCGCTTCACGGACCCTCCCTGGAGCATAGCAATTCGGATAAAAATGAGAACCCATGCACCACCCACCCTTAGCAAAACTTGGAGAAAGCATGAGCGTAGAGAAAAAATTAAGACATAGGGTACAGGAAACAGAATAATTCATGCTCCGAACACCATACAGAAGCTCATCAATCGACGGAAATAGATGATGGAAAAAAAAAAAAAACAATGATGCAAATGCGTTAGACCACTTCAATGCGAACACTTTTCCTTGCTTCGCCTCCTCGCTTCCCTTGAAATGCTGCGCAGGAACCTACCATGCATCCCATCCACTCAGCAAAGGTAGCCCCGGTAAATAACTGACAAAAATAACTGCAAAGGAAAGATACAAGACATCAAATCGTAATCGTTACTGTAGCAAAATCGTAGCCGCGCCCCAATGTATTGGAAAAAGCCCCCCTGTGTTGTATAGGTAGGAAACGATGCGCCTCCCAGCATAACGTCAGATCCCGCGGTTTATAATACATCGCAAAGGATCCTCGTAGATACTTAGGCGGGCGCGTCAACAAAAGTCGAGTCGAAGATGGGAACGAGGCGGCTTCATGGACACCAGGTGAGCAGGTCGGGTTGACAACTGCACTGTCGTTTAAGAGTTTCAAGTCATGCTTGATAGCCTTCAGAAAGCTTATCCCCACTGGGGTAAAAAGGGAAAGAGGGAAAAAAAAAAATCCGTGTCTTCCATCGACGGAGGGACACAGAGACATGTAGAAAGCAAAGGACATTCGCGTGTGATCTCGTAGGCGGCGGGGTCTAAAGCGCTTATGCATCTTCGTTCATCCTTGGATGATAGCAGGTGTCTGCGTATCCTTCATAAAACTGTTTTGCATAGGCTGAAGATATGGATATCCGATATGGTTCGGTGATGACGGAGCGGCAGGGGAGTGTCGAGAATCACCACCATAAACCCCATCCATGGGAGGAGATGAGCATGGAGACACCGAGCTGGAACTGCTACTCTACCCCGTCCGGGTTTCATAGTCCGGACTTCCCGTGACGGGACCAACTGCACCACTTGGGTAATTCATCGATCCGGATCCGAAGAAGCAGTATTTATCAACCAACTCTTTATACACCGACGACTCGCGATGCGGCTTGCCAGAAACGATGGTAGAGGGTTTATGGTGGTCTGAGGACCCTGGTTGCTGGCTACCTCTGCTAGGCAAAGGCGCGTTCTCCTCCTTGTGGCTTGCTTTCCGTTCCGACGAATGGCCGTGACTACCATGCGACGGGAGTTTCGACTTTGCTCGAGCTGTCAATGTCGTGCGATCATGAGTAGGTTTGGTCCGCATGGCTGCCGACAACGAGGCTTCAAAATCGTAACGATTTCCAAAGACCTGATGGTTCTGCTTATCGCGACGTATCGGAGCCACCATTTCGACATCATGCGGATCATCATCACCCAAATGTTCCTTCTTGCCGTTAGTTGGTGGGTTGCCAAACGAGATGTACTTGTCCATCTCAGACAAGGCATCAAATGAAGGCGGCATTGAGTGTGGGCGGCTGTTGGATCCAGCAAAGCTCCTGCTCCTAGGCAAATTCGTACGAGGACGTGTGGAGGGAGGAGCCCGGGCCTGTGGCATTTCTTTTTGTACCCTGCGGAAGTTGACTTGGTAATTTTGTGAGTTGTTGTTGTCCCAGTACTCCTCTCCAGCGACATTGTAGCGAATGCACACAAACATCGTTTTCCTCTCCAAGTTTGCTTGATCATCCAGCCGGATGCTGAAAGCAAACCTATCATATCCATCCTGAGTAGGCTTCCGTCGGGGGTCTTCATTGTACTCGGCTGAGACTTCAGAAACAGTCTTCCAATGATCGAGAGTAAACCGAGCAGCAACGTGCTTGTGGAAAGCCAGGTTGGCAACCCCAACGACGCCGATCATGGTGTTTTTATCCGAAGACAAGTGCAGACGTTCCAATCGAACGCGTTGCTTAGCCCGAGAAGGGCTGTCTTTGGGAAAGTTCGACAGACCAAGCTCCCATTCAAAAGCGGGCATGTCCCGATGACCCTTCTTGAACGGAAACTCCTCTGCGGCGTCATAGTCTTCCACTGGCGATGTGTCTGCACTTACGGCTTGAGGCTTATCCAATTGCAGAAAATGACGGATGTGTTCCAGCTGAGCGTCGAAGTGAACCGCTTTTGCGTAAGTCGGAGTCCCCGGCATGCTAGATGGGCGCCGCCGAGCCGAAGGTGGGCGAAGAGCTGGCCTCACCAGTTCCCCAGACTTCTTGCGGACCATAGGGTGCCTGACCGGGGGCTCGTCATCTCTGTCACTTTCTTCTGGAGAGCTAGTCAAAGCCTCCTCCTGTCTACGGTCAATTGAGGTTTCTGTAACCGATCGAGAGTGGGATATCTTGCGGGCCTCTCTGGAGAGGGGCGGCCGTGGAGGTTGAACAGGGCCACCAGCAATGGCTGCCATGCTCGATGAGGACTGCACCTCCGACGGCTGTCTCTCCGGCGAGGATACTCGTCTCTGCTCAATAGACCTCACAGCAGCCTCCAATTTTTTCAGCTGGAGCCCGTCCTGGGATGGGTATGACACCTCTTCATCACTTGAATTGTTGGCAGATTCAGGAGGTGAGATCAGAGCCCCAGGAGGGATGACAGCATCACTTATGGGAGGCGGCGACGTTCGAATACTGGCATGAGGGTCGTTGACATGATCCACTTTGATAAAACCTTCGGGCTCTGGAAAGACAAAGACCTTGCTACTTGAAGGGCTTCGTCGGTGCCTTCGCACATAAGAGGTGGAGGAATACGAGCGAGGCAGATGCTGACGTTGATGGTGAGAGACGACAGCGGTGGGAGAGCTAGGACAGGATTGTGGAGTGAGTCCAGAGTGTTCAATGTGCTGCGCAGAAGGCGACGTCTTCAACGGCGCAGTGTATGGCATCCGGCCGGGAGTGCTTGTGTAAGCAGACACAAGAGTGGGTAATGAGGTGGAAGATAAGATCGACAGGGTATTGAAGCTCGTTTCAGGAAAGGTCTTTATGAACAGAAGGCTTCTGGTCCTGAGAAACGGCGTCTGTTGATATATTCTAATTTCCCCACGTTAGCCAGAGTGTGGAGGCGGCGCCTAGAAACGATATCAAACAGTGGCGAGGATGATGAGCAGCAGTAGCAGCAGCATTGCCTCCACATGGGCGATCATGTCAAGAAAAGGGAAGATGGAGGACCGATGTTACAAATCATGCCAGACGGTCGGTAAAAGAAGGAGATGAAAGTGGTGTGACTGGGAGGTCAGGGTGTTCCAAGGTATCAGAAGGAGCGTTGGAGGCAAAGCCGGGGGCGGAGGGCGGATGCAGCCAACAGGGTGTTACGAGACAAGAGATCCCGGGCAGTGGCACAGATGAGAGCAACGATCAAGATCCCAGACACACAAATCATCGCTGATATTTGCATTGGAGGCAGTTGGGAGAAGAATAGTGGCCATGCGATAAGGGGTATTCACGGAAAGAAAGGACGAGGTCGACTCGACGGATACACTCACCTTGCGGACTCGACATCTAGTATGAACTGAACGTGGAAGAAACTACAAACATGAAAGAAAAGAATAGGAGGAACAGAGAAGACAAATAAGAAGCTGGGCAGTGTGTCGAACAGCCGAGCAGGGAGTAGTTTCCAGCACAGTGAAGGAAAATTAGATACAAAGAAGTTCGTGGTGAATCGAAAGAGAAACGGGCGATGGATGGATGGGTAATGGAGTATATGAGAAGGTGACGGAGTGGAGAAGAGAGCAAAATATTAGGGTAAGCCGCACTTGACGGGGGAAGAAAGAAAAAAATTAATTAATTTGAAAAAGGGAAAATAGAAGAAAAAGAAAATCCAAAAGAGAAAATAAGCATGGAAGTTGGAAAAGAAAAATAAAAAATAATCCCAAAGGAAAAGAACCTCTCAGGAATGATATTGATAAGGGAGCTCGGACGTCAAGAGGGATCGAAGGCAAGGAAAATTCGGTACGTCCTGGTAAAGTTGGTAACCTTCAGCCAGGGAGGGGCAAAGAAACTGCTCGGATTTCCCCTCTCCGTCACTTTCTACTTGCTTTTCCCCTGAAGGTGAAATGAATGATACCTGTTTAGTGAAGAGCAGGAGGTCTGTTCACCTTGATTCATTTTCTTTCATTCTATTCAATTAATTACTTGTGTATTTTATTTTATTTCATTTGATTATATTTATTCTGTTATCAAAGATGGCCAGCCTGCTTGTATTTATTTCTCTATTCTTTCATGCTTCAGTTAGGGAGGGATGGGAGGGGGGGAATGTTTCGTGATGACGACCGTTGGAAAAAAAAAAAAAAAAAAAGACAAGCAGAAGAAGAAGATTCCCTGCCGCGTTGCCGCCGTACCCGGAACAGGACGGAGGGCAATGAGAGGATGATGATGGCGGCGGGCGGAGGTGGTATTAGCGGTAAATACGGGTGCTGGGACGCTACTAACCAACTTAAAATAGGCGATCGAACGGTCTGGGACTGGAGGCGATCCCTCGCCGGCCAGTCAGTGCGTTCCGGCCCGGTGGGTCCTTGGTAAAGCGATATCTCGGTCCTGCCTGTAGAAAGTGTCGTATGTCGAACTGTCTGGTAGTAAATTGGTTCCATCATGGAGGGTGGTGGTTGTCTGATTGACTGATTTGAAAAAAAATTGAAACCCTGCCCGGCTTTTTTCGCCTCCCCGATCGCATTCTTGCCCGTCCGGTACCTTGGACCCGGATGGCATCATTGGCTGCTTATCTTCCTATCATATTCTCTCCTTGGGCCTCATGGAGGAGAGGATAAAAAGACAATCAATATCAATGAATGCTACCATCGTAGTAGAACAACCATGGATTGTTTTTGTTTAGTGTCCACATAGATAAGACACAGATCCATGCTATAGATGAATAGAATGTTGGAAAAGCACCTAATCAGTCCACAGTACATGTGGCTCAAGGTGGAGGCCAGGTGATCTTCAAGGCTGCATGTCCGGAGTATTCCAGTCCACTTTGTCTCTGTCGGTATGTGTGTAACGATGTATGTGCTACTTTAGTATGATGTACGTGCTCACTAGGAATGCCCAGGATCAAGGCATACGTGCATCCTTCCGGTCTTTCCCTTGATGTCGCCATACAAATCCATCACCTCCTTTATGATACCATTTATTCAATTTGATTTTTTCATTACTTTTTTTTCTTCCCACTCCGCCATTCCCTCATACTACTATCTACAAAACTTGAGACAGACCCCATATCTACTACGTAGTAGCCGCTGGTGATCCTTTCCGGAGGATCTGTTTTCTTATCAGGAGATGATTAGTTGACTTGATCTGTTCCATGGAAGCAGTTATCTCACCGATAAGCCAAGTTTGGTCCTGAAGCCGTCCCCGGCCGAACATGTTCAGCAGTAAGAGTAGTAGACGACGACTAGAAAGTCAGTAGTAGTGAGTCTAGGTACGTCCGACCGTGCGGTTTTACGTATGGGCAACCCTGGTCCCCACCCCCAGCTTTCGCTTTCTCCCTCTCACCCACTCACTCTCTTCTCTCTTTTCTTCATCCACTTTCTCTGGTTTCTTTTCCCTCCATTTCTTCTACCTTACGGGATGTTTCCAGTCTTTCAGGCCCTCCCGTAGCGCCAGTCTAAATTTGCCACCGCCCAACCAACGGGACCGGAAGTGGTTTCTCACTAAGGAGGCCTGGACGGTCTAGAGGCGGAAATGTTGGGGAGGCTAGTGAGCATCCAGCTAGTACTGAAGTCAAGTCTGTCTGTGGTTACGATCGGTCGGTCCATTAACTAACCACCCAACTCCACTGAATATGTCTGACATAAAGTAATCTGAGGATATATTAACCTACGTTGGTGGTTGACTAGTGGATTGGATTTAGTACGATTATAATTATAACCTCGCCTGAGAATCCAGTGGGATTATTGACTGATGCGCAACCTACATAGGACGCACATTAGTAGAGCGTAACGCCAGGGGGGAAGAGAGTGGGTTGCGGATGCAGACCTGTCCCTTTGCTTTGTCAGTGCGCGCACGTTCACACAGACACACACACTCTCTCTCTGTCCCTCACACACTCACATCTCTTGTCTTGTCTTGTCTTGTCTTGTCTTGTCCTGCAACATCCCATGTTTTGCTTGCTTTTCTTGAGACACACTTGTGCTCTTCGCACGAGGGTTGGTCGATCACCATCTTCTCCGCCTTTCAGACTTTGGAGGATAGACATTCTAGACATTCTAGACTGTCTCCTTTTCTTTGCTTTTTTTCTTCTTCCTTTCACCGGGGCGGGTCCTCCCCAAAAATGCATCTTTGTAAGATGTCTGCATTGCTATGCTCAGATTAAGGATGAAAAGTGACTAATTTTCAGCCACATTGGTCGACTTTCAAGCTAAAAATTGCTACAAGTTTTATTCTATAACATGCTGATGGAAGATTAGTGGCGCCGTCTTTGTTACCTTTCTGGAGGGACGCGGGGGCTAGGGCCGAAGCGGCTAGTAATTGCGGTACCCACACCGGAGGCAGATTATTACTACTAGTACTAGACTAGACTATACCAATATACGGAGACTGGGTTGGGAAGTGGATATGAATGGATAGCTGCCCGGTCGCTTAGCGCTACTCCAACGACCCATTTCCAAGGCACCTTGCCAGTATGACATCAGAAAGATACTTTTCCCTGAGTGAGTGAGAGAGTGTGTGTGAGAGAGAGAACCTCACTTGATACTTTTTCCTCTCCCTCCCCTTCCTTTCGCTTCCTCACCCATTCCCATCGAATCGCGTTGTCAGGTCAGTCGTCATGCTGGAGGTCTGCACGGACCACGGGAGAATTTAAAAGACTTATGCTGCAGCGCTGCCTTGATCTGGCCAACCGAGTGTCCGCGCTATCCTGCACACGGAATTGATGGACCTCTCCAGAGAAGTAAAATTCGAAAGGAAGTTGGCTGTGCGCAGCAACTCTTGGCTTCTAGCATCGGGAGTTTTTAGTGACCTGGTCGACGTCGCATTTCTTGGCTGCCGCTGCGCATGGACGCTTAACATTATTATCCACCACCCATTTCCCAACTGACTTAGGAAAATTCTGTATGGATTTGGGTTTGTATGTAGGGGAGGAGAAACAGCAGCAGGTATCCTTATCATCCTCAGCACTGGTGCAACGGGCTTGCATAGACATCGGGAGTTGATAATGCACTCCCCCTTTGATATTGAGCAATTTCGGTTTCTAATCGAATCTTCAGATGAGTGTTGCATCGCTTGTGTAACGGCCTATGTCGGAGAGAACCACCCCGGTCCGATGCTTGGACTCTCTTCTCTCCCCCCCCTTTCATCTCTTCATCGAGGGGGGGACTAATTTGGTGACTAAAGTCAGGGTGCATTCATTGCCAGAGGGCTATTCGGACGGTGACTGGCTCTGAAGCTGCTGTTCTCGCCCCCATCGCGGAGACTTATGCCTGCGGTAGCCTCTGGTCTAGATACTACTAGGTCTCATCTAGTAGGAATCCGCGACGCTTCGATGCCACGGGCCTATGGGCTCCTCCTTCTTCTCCTCCTCCCTGCTCGCACGACCAGCATCGAGCGAGCGCTTGTCTCACTTTCCCTCTGGGTCTTATCATGGCTCGACTCACCGCACGGCAGGGGCGGCGCCCCCCTGGCCGACTTTAGTAGTTCTCAACTCAATTCCTGTGATGGTATCGATTGGCTGCGTGTCTGATTTGCCACCGGGCATGCAAGCCACAGCGGATAGTCATTTATTGGTGGTCCATATGCTGGGTGCCATGATGGAAATCATATCGGCAGGATCTGGACGGTCAGTGAGAGGACATTGGTTGGGGTGGTGGTGGTGGTGGGGTTTGACAGTGATAGAGAGAGAAAGATATCTTGAAGCCACCGATCTTGGCTAGACGGGAGCGATGATCGGGCCTCGTTCGATGGAAGTCATGTAATGTCGTTCCGAACGCGTGAGGTCCGGATGGCGCAGTTCTCATTCGACGAGCGCCGGCATCTCTTGTGCAGCTGCAGAACCGCGCTAGTGTGGCTCCTCTCCCCATCGTCTCAGCCTTTCGCGTTCCTCCTTCTCCCTCAACTCTCCCATCTTAGCTCTGCCCATCAAAGCCTATCACTACTTAACTTGTTTGCTTCTTCATGGGTTTTATTCTATTGTCTATTTTATTTTCCAACAGCCTACCGCGCAATCACAAAAAAAGAATAAATAAACATGGGGGAAGCCTGGTCATACGGCTGATCAGATCACACTGCACAGGGAAAGGCCAACAACAATGTCTTTCTTATTCAAAATCCGCTAGAACCTCTCGAGGCAATTGACGTGCGTGCTCCTCATCTCCGACAAAACGCCATCAACGCCCCTTGAAACTAGCTGAGTTTGAGCACTGACAGGACTAGCTGTCCTCGGACAACTAGCTTCTGCCTACGACTGACGCTATAACGGCCGGTCGAGCGCCCGAGCGGGTAATCGGCGCCGATTAGCACAGCCGTCCTCCTTGATCGACAACCCACGCTCCTCCGAATTCAAGCCCCAGCGCTTGAAGCTCCTCTTTTTCTTTGGTATCTCCTCTTTTCGCTACTTCTGACAAAGATACACGTTCCGGAGACGTTAAACTTTGTATGAATCTGGACGTGCATATCATCTAAAGGCGGTCTGGGAAGTTTACAGTCCCCTCTGCTCGTATCTACTGCGAAGCCGGGCGGGGAAGCTCGCTGCTAGCGGCAGGGTGCAACATAACGGATGTCAGATTGGCTCGTGGGCCAGCTCAGAAACTCTTATCGCTCCGGCCCACCGCGGAGGAGTCTCTGCACGCAAACGGGCTGCTTCTTCCTGTCCGATAACCGCTGCGGTCTCGACCCATGGGCTGCGTCGCAAGCTTCTCTACTCCGCACTCTCTCCCAAGAGCAGTGGGGAAAGCTGTGCCGCCCACGATGGCTGGCGCAGCAGAACCTCAGCTGGAGACCCCACGGGGAAACCGATCTCCGCGCGAGCCTGCTTGCGTGCTTGCGTGCTTGCTGCGTATCTTCGTTGATGCCTCTTGTGATCAGTACGATACTTGCTCTATCGATCATTCATCGCGACCATTCTTGGGACTCGCATGATGACGGCTATGCTGTGCATCCCCATGCAGGAACTCTCCTGTATACTATTGATAGACCACTGCGGCTATAGATTTTACGGTATCTTACTATAATCTACCTACTGACATCTCCGATTGACAATAACATCCTTGGCACGGTCGTCGCCCTGTCAATACCCGATGGTCACAATTTCATCCGTAGCCGTGATCCTGAGAAGACAATAGCAGTGCCACTGAGAGCGATCACGTTCCGTTTCACCATGCAGCTCCTGACCACCTGATTGTTGATCGCCAGGGTACGGCAGAGGAGTTGGTGCAGCTTTGCTGTGGATTCTAACCGCCCCTAGGCCCTTGGCTCAAGGGACTTGTGGGGTTCTCTGAGCGGGCATCTCTCGTGGCTCATACAGATCCAACAGGTTTACGCATTTCATATCGGCCCGCGCGGCTGTCTGTTCATGTTGGGGTGTCAAACTTATTCTTTAGCAATGTGAACAGACGGCCGAGTACCATTATTTCAGCATCTATATGGTGCACATGAAAGCTGTCAAACACGGATCGGTCGGAGAACTATACCTGCGTTGGAAATTTGGCCGTCATGTTAGGTGTCGATGCCACATAGGGCAAGCTCACTCGCATTAGCAACGTTCTACACAAGCGTGAGCGAGTAATAGCACAGCATACGATCCACCAGACGGGTTCCGATCGCCCCGACTGCGCCCTACCAATATCTTTCTTGTGTACACATGACAGCCATACCCATGACCGGCCTAAAGCTAAGAGCCACCTCCCTCCCCGCTCTTCAGATTGACCTTCATCGAGTGATATCGGATGGTCCGATGCCAATTTCGGGGGCGCCCCATTAGCCCGGGTGTAGGTCCTCCGCCGCACAAGCCGAGTAGTAATGCCACTGGGCCGGGGTCCGTCGAGCACAGACACTACCCTGGCCAGTGGGAGCAAGCGACGGGGATGTCAAACATGCCATTGACTCGGACTAGGCACTGTCCGAGCGCGCAACCCCTCAGTGGACAACAGCCCACGACGTTCCCCTCTTCCAGAGGCAGTGCTATTGGGTATCTGTTTTGGGGGCCCAGGGTGGACTAGTATACCGATGAAAACAATGTTACCGGTGAGGTAACAGGAGCATCCGGTTCTATATCCCAACACGACCCCAATTCACTATGGTAAGTTCAACTTATCTCCTCTTTCACCATGACCAGAGTCTACCTACAGCACGTCGCTCAACCCTTGTCGCGAGTTCAGCTTCATTTTGATGGACATTGCGGGGTACAAAGCACACAGACCGGACAACCCTGGTCCGCCAACTCATAACCATGTGCGACCATCGCGGTATCGAACCTTCTCCGCGGCCGTCCCAGTCCCCATGCGACCACACATGTTAAGTTCTCACCACTGTTTGTCTGCCCCCTCTCACACCCCGATCACGAGCCATGGCACACACCACCATCTTCAACAAGTTCCAGCGAACCAGCAACAATCCTAATACAACAAACCCCATGAACCAAGCATCACACCAAGCAAGTCGAATGCCCTCCTTGCCTATCTTCCAGAAACCTGTAGAAGGATTTGACTGATGGCACAACTCCTATGCCAACACGCAAGGTAATCTACGCGACATGCATCCAAAGCCACAAACGCAAAACCAAAAAGCGAATATTTACTCATGCATATTCGACATAATAGCACATCAACAGTATAGCCCAGCTAATGTCCCTCAAAGCCACAAAATGCACCCCGACGTAGTCCAAGAAAGTTAACTAGAGACTTGCTTCCATTAGCCACCACCACCACCACCACCACCAACACCACCACCACTTCTATCATGATTTACATAGTACCCAGCCATTCTACCCTCCTAGCATGGCCATTGCCACAGACAACACCCCCTTCACTCTCTCTTCATCTTTTCTATTCAGTAAACTCATCATCATGCAAGAGCAATCCGATCGGTCGCTCACTTTTCCCCCCTCGCCACACATACTAACAGCTCACCTATGACCTGAAGAATATCACAAACAAACTATAACCCCTTACTTGCTGTACATCAGTCTATATGTAGATAAGTATGTAGTCTGTCACAGTGGCAATATCACCTCACACCTACCAACTACTACTACTACATAAGTACGTGGGCACATTAAACAGCCAGGAGAACTACTTTAATCCGGATCCATTCAACCACTACGACTGATCTCATATTGACTTCAAGCGGCAAATTAACTGATCAATCGATCGGTCGGTCGGTCGGTCGGTCGGGCGGGCGGGCGGACGACATAGTTGCGATGGTGATATCAGTAGGGGGGTGTAGCTATGTAGGTGCTTATGCACTGACAGACAGATTCATCCTTTAGGAAAAAAAGGTCAAATCACAGGAATCAAATATTAAGAACAAAGGTACCGCTATTAGTAGCGTATAAGAAAGCGACCTGGTATTGGAAGAATATTTATTGTCTGATCTGATGGATGGATGGATGCATGGTATTTTTGATACTACTAGTATGCATGGGTGTATGTCTACCTGTTGCAGAATAAGGTACTCCTTTTAATTTTTTAATTTCTATCATGATACTTATTACGATATTATTCTATCATACGGAAGTTCCAGGTAGGTGCCGTGTAATACAGATGCCTGGAATAGGCAACAGTATGAAACAAGAAGATCATGAATAGATAGATATGTTACGTTTACTGATTCAGATGTGTGTTGTATTTATGATGTAGGTGTCACGAATATAGTCAGTGTTGTAGTCAGATTTGGAACTTGAATGAAATATTATATGGAACTGAACTGAAAGAAAAGATGAAAATAAAGTACCGTTACCCATTAAGCCTGCTTTATGGAGGGCGAATAATTAAGTACATAGGAAAATTCGAAGTGAAAAAGAAGAAGAAGAAGTCAACGCCAGATTGATCTTGGTAAATATAAATAAAAACGTAATGTTCAGACAGCCGCCCCAAGTCCAGCTTTAAGACTGAAAGATGATCCAAAACAACAAAACATAAAGAAAATAGAAAAGCCAGTACATGCACAAGGTATCATGTTTCATAATCAATCAAGCAATCTGTTTTTGTCTTTCCTGGACCCTTTGACTCCCGTATCGTAAGAGTGACAGACATCATTACATAGGTTGTTGGTTGGTTGGTTGGTCGGTTGTGCAACAATAGCGACAGCATTATCATAAAGTCATATCATATCGGTCGTCACAAAGAATGATAAGTCATGAGCATTACTGCTACACACTTGCCGTTCGTCGCTTTTCGCTCGGTTTCTGTGCATATGCGATCCAC